AAATTTTTAGTTTAGTTCTATTCTTGCACTCTTATATGTTTGCAAGTTCTTTTCGTCCTTTTTCTTGCTTCTTGAGGTAACATGGGAGTTTAGGTGGGATCTGCTGAAGGGTTGTATTAAATTAAATCAATGTCTTGACTGTCTTGTATATAAGTAACTTGGAGTTAACGTCATTAATGCCCTGAGGAAGGCCCCATGACTGACACATGTGGTGTGGTACGCAGTATTAGCTTTGATTGTGTGCCACATTTTTGTGACTTTTGATCACTCAGCGATGCCTTAAAGGAGAGAAGTGTAAGATGATGAGAAGACAGCCACTTTGGTGCTTAACAAAGAGGCATACAGTGAGAGAGGCTTTGCTAACTGACTTGGAAACAGCAAGTCAGCTGTCCATAACAACGTTAAGAAGAAAACCCAGTATGACTCCACAAGAACCGCAAAGGAAGAGGCAGAAAACAGCGGTCACAGTGGTCTAATAATCGTTTCCAAAGCTGTCTCATTCAAGTATTTCCGGCTCTCTATAAAGCCTTGAGTATTGCCAGAGGGAGCTGTGTGAATTCTGATAAATGTCTTCAAGTGAGGAGTTGGCGCCGAAGACCTCGAGTTCGAAAAGTTTTTTTAAAAAATGTAAAAAATTGCAGGTGTTGAGCTGGAAGAAGATGAACTTAGCAGACCTCTGCAGCCTGAAGCTTATCTCTGCTGCTGGCTACATGAGCTGGAACAAGAATAACACAACTCAATCTGTGGACCAAACTGTCAATGATTGAGTCGCATTAGGAAGATGGCAGGTTTCACAGGAAAGTAGAACCTAGGGAGGATCTATCAATTAAGTATTATTTTAAGGGAAAAAAAGTCAGAATTTTCTGATTCCAGCTGCTTAAACAGGAGAATGTCCTGGTTTTTTTTCTCCTCTATAACAGAAAACTGAGTGTGGTTGGGCTACTGATAAAACAAGATGTTTGAGGACGACTTCTTTGGCATCAGGAAACACTGACTGACATCATTCACCATTTTCTGACGTTTTATAAACCGAACAAATGATCAAGAAAAAAGTAACAGATTGACAAAGAAAATAACCTGTAGTTGCAGCTCCACTTGAAGGAAAAATGTATAGAAATCAAAATATTGAAAATGTGGACTGAGTGAACTCATGATGACCTCTAACCTGTGCTTCTGCTGCATCGATTTTCATCCTCCATTGCTGCTCCAGCGACGCAAAGCTAATTTCAGTGAAACACTTCTTTAAAGTTGGAATCAATTTTTTTAACCTCTTCTCATGAAATGATTGTGAGAATGTGACTTATTAGATAAAGTGTACATCTTCTCAAAACTTTATTGATATCACAATACACATACAGCGCATATCACAGTAAAAAATTAAACCACAATTAACTTTTGCAAACTTCGTATTTAGGCTTAAACTAAATTGGGGGTATTGAGCAATAGGATTAAGGGTTTTATTTTTGTTTTAACCTTGGTCATATAACAGGAAACACATATTTGAGAGGATTCCATGCATTAGAATGTCCAACATTAATGTTTCAGATGTCACTGATATTGAGTATGGCCACCTCTGACACGGATCAATACGTTAAGACATCGTAGCATACTCGCCACAAGCTTGTTGATGGTGTCAGTGTTCAGGATGTCCCACTCTTCAGTCAGATCCTGAAGTCAGAATTCATTTCACCGTTTGGGTAGCTGGGACTCAGTATGTAAGCACTGCACCTGGTCAAAGTGATGACTGATGTGTATAAATAGAAATAAAAAGAGGAATGTGTCTGAAACAAAAATTATCCCACCTTTATGGGTGGCAGTGTACCAATGATGTAGTGTTTCCTACTGAGGATTGGTCCGTCAGTTCTGTTTGGTTCTGTTTGGTTCTGCTGGTCTGGAGGGACGAAGGTTCACAACTTCCAGAGCCAGATTGGAGGTGAGAGGATCAAGAGAAACGTGAGGTTGTGCTGCCAGAAACTTGAGAGGCAGCTTTTAGGCTTTTGGGGGGATGAATTGTGTGGCTTCCAAACACACACACACACACACACACACACACACACACACAGAGAGCTACATACTCTACAAGCTGAATGAAATCAGTGAATCAGGAGAGATGGATGGTTCGAGCAAGAGAAGTCTACACTCCCCAAGAGAGAGGAAACAGTGTGTGTGTGTGTGTGCACGTGTGTGTGTGTGTGTGTGTGTGTGAGTGTGTGTGCGTGTGCGTGTGTGTGTGAGTGAGAAACAGTGTTCGGAAACAGAGAGAGGGAAAAGCTGGTCTGTGAATCCTGTGGCTGCTTCTAGTTGTTCCATTAGTAGGAAAAAAACGAGTTTGGTGCTTTTTGATGTTGCATCCAAATGTTCCTGAAATTTCATGCTGAACAACTTTAATGAGAGCGAAAGGTTTAGCACAGTCACACACACATATATATATACTGAGCAATCTCAGATGGAGTGGAAAACGAGTTTGAGCTTATATTATTAATATATGTACTGCGAATATGTGGGTATGTTGGTTTTTCCTTTCAGTACAGGAGGCCTCATGTCTGCAGCACCTCTTATTCAACCACATGTGCATTATGTTGTGACCCTTCAACAATTCATCTCTTGTAGAAAATATTACATTTATGACTCAGTGACAGAAGTGTAGATGTGGTGAGGATTTCATGTTGTTTTTTAACCAGGAGACAAACCTTGAATTTGACCAGCTTATTTTTGATTCTAATCATTTATCAAGTTATACAGGTAATAAATAAAAACAAGTGTAGAGGAAGGATCTCATCTTGATATACATGAAATAAAGATTACAGATAGGTGAGTAGGGTGGATGACCAGCGACTCAGTTTTCCATGATGGTGCACCCAGTTGTCATCGCACAACAGTTCAGGTTAGTGTCGGACACCTCAGGACATTACAGTAGAGCTCCGCGTTGATGATGTGACCATGGGCAACAAATTCACGGTGCACAACCTCATGACTGTCAAAGAAGACAACAACTATACTCCTGTTTGTCACCATCTGTGGCTTTAGAGACCTGCAGATTTTGACATAGTGCAGCTGGGCAGTGAAAACACAAATGCACATCTGCAAGTGGTCATAAAAATACATCTGATACAGGTCTGAAATGCACATTGTCACATGGATCCTGAATCCTGACTCAGAAGAGTTACTGTATAGACAGATAGATAGATAGATAGATAGATAGATAGATAGATAGATAGATAGATAGATAGATTAGCTGGTATTTACAATAAAAAGGAGTATTATAAAGCACATGACCTTGTGGTGCTCTATTTGCCAAACACTGACACATTCCTCCATTCATTCATGTGTATACATATTTGTTAAGCAGTGTGAACCTGAGGCAAAACAGCAGTGGAAATACATTTTAAGTATTATAGGTTTGGTTTTTTTTCATTAAAAACCGCCAGAACTTGTATAATAGCAATGACGATAATCAAAACGTAGTGACTCACGGGGATGCAAAGGGTTCACAGGTTTGGTTTTGAGGCTTACAAGTAAAATCAGAATTACCAAAAATCAGAAGCATTAATATGATGCAGCAGTAGCTTGGAAAAGAAATTCTGCAGAGTTTCAGCGTGTTTCACTTGTTGAATGAGTTTGAAATGCAGCACGTCAGCAGCCCATGAGCAAGGCATGGAGCCTTCAGTCGCCGCAGCGAAACTGCACAGGCTGCTCGGAAGTGAATGAATATGAAGCAAGATGTTGCTGAAAAATGTGACCCCAGTCAGCTTTTCTTGTATGAGAAAGGGGTTAAGACACACAGACAATAAAACACTACACACACACACACATACTGGTGTTTCTGACGTTTCCAGTACGTTGGCTGTGGTTTTGGCTGCTGCGACGGCTGAGCCTGAGATCAACGGAGGCCATTGTTGCCCTGAGTGAGAGAGGCGAACCATTCTTTCCACTTTCCATTTCAGCTCTTGTCTTTTTTTTGAGGAAAAGCTCCTCTTTCCAGTTGTTGTTGAAAATGCGGCAGGCTAGCATGTTTCATGTCTCGAATGAAAAATCACAAACAGATCGGCAGGGTTTGGTTAGTTTCCCTGACAAACAGCTTTTCTTGGGTGCTGTGTTTGTAGCACTGACAGATCGGCACTTTTTTTTTTTTTTTACCCTAAACTGTGAAGGTATAAGAACACTGAACCTAACATTGTATTCACTGAAATATGGAATCTCAGCTGTATGGTATCATGACAGAACACTATAAATATAAACCTGAACCTAAACCTGAACAATGCGGGCTGAGTTAGAAAGCTTTTACGGTGCAAACACAAGAAAATTCGTTACAACTTACACTTCACAATTCTTCACTTTTGAAGAATTTTTTTGAAAGCGATGACCTCGACAAAACTGCGTCTGACTGCTGACCTCACAAAAGTGACTTCTCTCCAGACCTGTCAGGATTGCGCTGCATGTGCATGGTTCCTGTTGCTACACTTGATATTTGTAAAACTTAATGAATGCAGGAGTTGGGTTTGGTGACTGTGAACTCGTTGCACTTCTGTCATAAACAATCAATCTGTTCTTAGTTGACTGATTGATTGATTCCTCTCTGGGCTGCTGAGCCTTCAGCAAACCGCTTTAAGATAATCTCTAAACTACCCTTCTTGTCTTCTCTCATCTTGTCCTGTAAAAAAAAAAAAACTCTTGGGTTTGTCTCCTGAATTATAAAAGTCCTTGTAACCTTCTTGAAAACCTGTCTTCGTCCTTGGGTGATGATGCCCTTTACTCAGCTGTGTTTGTCCTTGAAAACTACCTTGCCTCCTGACTTCTAATGATAGTAGGTGTTTGCCTCCTCTGTCCTTTGCCTCTTGTGTGGTCTCCCTCCGTTGTGTGGGCCCTGTTCTCCTCTGTTCTTTATGTCTTGCCCCCTCATGTCCTCGTCTACTAAGCATCTTGTCTACGTGATATTACTGCCTAAACAGCTTCCGTGGAGGTTGTCACATTTTGAACATTGATGAATTTATCACCTCCAGTACTGGGCTGCAGCTCCACAAACTGTAACCTGGTGCTAACGGATGCCCAGGGGGAAATCACATCGCCCTGCTACCCCCAGAAATACCCCAACTCGCAGGCCTGCAAGTGGACCATGCAGGCTCCCGCCGGCTTCATCATTCAGCTCTCCTTCCTGGACTTTGATCTGGAGGAGGCGCATGGCTGCATCTACGACCGGGTTGTGGTGAACACGGGAAACACGGACGTTAAGTTCTGTGGTCTGACGGCCAACGGGCTGACGCTGAACTCGACTGGGAATGTCATGGAACTATCCTTTACCTCCGACTTCAGTGTGCAGAAGAGGGGGTTCAGTGTTAGCTTCCGACACGGTAGGTTCAGGCTGATCTTCAAATGTAGCTCAACTAATGCAGGCAAACATGCTGTTATCAGGGTAAAATAATCCTGCTAATCGTCATTTGGAACACAGCTTGAGGGTTGGGGAAGTTAACAAGGAAGTTATGTTAATAGCAGCTCACCAAAATCTGGTTTGACCCCGTTTTTGTTACTCTGCAGTAGTGTTGGGTGCAAGTCTGTCCCACAAGAACCTAAATAATAGCAATAAAACCATTGTGTAGGGTTTGTTCTACTTATTGCCTCCAAACCAGTAACTGCTTCTTGATGACTACAATAGAAGATACCAGCTTTAAGGCAGTTTCATTTTTAAAGCCAAACATTACAAAGCACACATTTTCCTCCAGGGTGCTTTACAATCTGTGAAGCATACAACAGCCTCTGTCCATAAACCCTTGATTTGGACGAGGACCAACTCCCTCAAATTTCCCCGCAATAGGAAAAATGATGGAAGAAACCTCAGAAGGAGCATCAGCAGTGATTCTCTCTTTTAGAATGGACAGACATGCGGTAGATGTTCTGTGTGCAGAAAAGCAGATTTAGAATGTAGACAAGGTGAAGGTGAAGTAACCTTTTTCCGTTTTTAGCATCGCCCAAAGTGGAAAGATAATGTCAGCCCCAAAGCAGAGTGAACTTTGAAGACAACAGGTGTGTGATGGGGTTTGTTGGACTCCTGAGTTCAACCTGCCAAGTTTAAATTCCCAAAAATGGGGAGTTGGTATACTGGCGCTCTTACTGCAATTTTTAGTTCAAAGCTTGTTTTTTTTTTTTAACCTCTGTACTGAATCTGCGCCGTAGGGTTTAGTGTAACTGTACACCCTATGCCTGATATCTACCTCCTTGGAAATGTGACTGCATTTCGCCGTAACGAAGATTGCAACGACTGTGACTGGTATAATTCTTCTGTGAAAAAACACGTAAAACCTAATAGGCTGTAGTTGTATCTGGCTTTCGTATGCAAACACGAGACAGTGTTCTGCCAGTATAAGCAGATATCGTTTATGCCTCTATCAATCCATGCTTGGAAGTTCTTGTGTTGCAAATACATGGGCCAGACGTGGCCGTCGAACATGATCGATCTATTAAATGGTAAGTGGTCCACAGTTAAACAGCACCCTTTTAACCTGAGCTAGATCCTGCAAAGTGCTTTACAACGTGTTTTTTATTCATCCATTCACTCACCATTTGGGGTGGACCTGCCACGCAAACTGCTTGCCTGCCATTGTTAGCAACTTGGGGTTTAATGTCTTTGTCAAGCGGCACTTTGGCTCGAGATGTTTCTGACGTCTTGCAGCAACATTTGTTGGCTTCAACTCCAGCATGATCCGCTCCATTTCGTTTGCCATAGATTGAAGTACATGAAGAAACTCAACGCAGTGTCACTGAAACCTCACCGCTAACTGGTGTGTTGATGGTGTAATTGCAGACATACCATTTCACAAGTATAAATGCTCGCAACAGCGTAGGCCGCTTGCGTAGGCGATGGTGTCGAGTCAACGCAGGAGTATCAATCAAGCTTAAGTTTAAAAACCACAGTGACCAGAGGTTTCTACATGACAGACAGCGAGTGGATCAGCATCACACAGTCTGAGGCATCGCTCTGCCAGAGGAAGACTGCTTCGTTGTTTTGGTGCATCTGTGTGAACGTGCCTTCACACATGTTTGCCGTGTCTTTGTGAGTGACTGAGTGGTGTTTTTCCATCTCACTCTGGCTGTCATTTTTGTGGGCTCAGCCAGCAGCTCCAGACTGAGCTGCCGTCCTGCTGGGAAAGGTTTTGCGACATGAAGATTCAGAGACAAATCTTCTGGTTTGTGAATACTTGTGGAGCTAGTGTGTCTTCAGAGATGTGTGTTTTTTGAGGGTTAAATCCTAAACTTGCTCTTTTCAGTCAAACTTTAATTTTAAAGTTTAGAAGAGCTCTTCAGAATAACTTTAAATCAAAACTCATCAAATGACGTCTCTCTACACTAATTATCAGGTAAAATCAAGGTTAGAATGAAATCATTTGTTGAAATACAGATGAATGAAAAGATGTGCGTACAGTTTTCTTCTTGTCATTTTGACTCTTTTTTTTTTGTCTTTTTCATCTTTCATCAATGATTTCACTTCACTTTTGTTTCGTCTTTGCTCTATTTTTTCCTATTTTTTGTAAATTTCGTTTTCTCCTCATTAATCGCTGGCTTCTTTCGAACGAAACGTTTCCCTTTTCCTTTCCTTTCTTTTCTTGATTTCCTCACTTTCCATTTTTATTCCTTCTGCTAATCTATTTCTTTCCGTCTTCCTTTTCTTGTTGTGCCGGCATTTCTTATTTCTTTACTGTTCTTCACTGCTTTGTTGCCTCTTTCCTAAATTTCTGCCATTACGCCTTTGTCTATTTTATTCTTTCTTCAATCCTTGCCACCTTGTCTGTCTATCCTTCCTGTCCTCTCTTTCCCTCCTGTCTCCATCCATCTCTCCTTTCTAGTTGCCGTGGCACTGAGGAACCAGAAGGTCAAGATAACCAACGGCAACGGCCAGGTCACCGAGGTCGCCGACTCGGTTTCCATACCAGCGCTCAGTCAACTCACCATATGCTTTGAGCTGGAGCGCAGCAGCCAGAAACAGGTGCTGCCAAAGTCTGGTTTAACTAACCTGAAAGATTTTTGTGTTTTCTTTAAATGTTTTTTTACTGCTTTAAACTGAGATGTCATTTACTTCCAAATGCCAATCAGCATCCAGCTTCCTTTGAGTTAAAGTTCAATGACAGTAGTTTGGGCTGGTCATTCATTTAGTTAATTTACTGATTTAATTTAATTCACAACACACAAGTACAAAAATAATTCCTTAAATTCTATTGTCGATCCAAGAATGTCCAAACACAACAAATGTATCCGGATGAATGTGGGTGAAATCAGAGATTGTTTCCATGCATCTGTTAAAAGCACAGTTCTTGGTTTCAGTCCCACTAAGACATCTTCAGTGTTCATGACATATAAGATAATATATGTTAAAAAAATTACTGATGCTCTAAGTCAGTGAGGAATTTGATGATTTTAATAAGCTTAAAGCTATTTAAAAGTGTTAAATGACCACACTTCACACTATCAGCTTATTCTCAGTAATACAGGATGCAGAATAAAATCAGAGCGACGTATTTGGTCATATCTACCATAGAAAACATAAACTATCAATTAGAAACTACAGTATGTCCAGACTCATTAACAGTTGTCTGTGTTCCTGAACAGAAAGAGTGGATCTTCAGCTACTATGATAGGAACAACAATGTGAGGCTGAGTTTGGGCTTCGATCAGACCGGGATGAAGATGGTTGTCGACGGAATGATCTGTCCCATCAACTCCATCATCTCCCCGTCTGACTTCACCACCTCCATGAAGCCTTTCTGTGTCCTCTGGGAATCCTCAAATGGCCGGGTGGCAGTTTTCTTCAATGGAGACTACTGGATAAAGGCCTGCTCCACCTCTAGCGGACACACTGTGCCGGCTGGTGGGACCTTACGGCTAGGAGGTTAGCTGGTGCACAACTACATTTAAATCGCTGATCTCTGGTGCATAACAGTGATGTTACTGCTTTTAAAAACGGTGATGCCAGATTTAACTGACAAAAACTTGTTCAGTTGTCATAAAGGTTGGTTAGATTTAAATTTTTATTTTCAAGAGTTTCTTTGTCCACAAACATAGCAAGTTTCTGGAATGACATTAAAGTGTTATTACATTCACCTGTCCTTTCACATCAAACATTATCTTTACCTTTCAAATTATACTCCAAAGTCATATTTTATTCTCCCAATCAAGGAAAAAATAGCTCAATTGTGTGGAAAATACACTGATGGGAAAACGGTGAGCATGTCACACTAAACAATGAAGAAAAATTAAATATATTTAATCCGACTTGTTCATAATGTGTTTTTAGGAGCTCACAAACCGAAAACTTTGTGTTTTGGTGCTTTAAGACCTGCAGTCACTCAGCTAGTTTTATAATCAGCTGAATGGAACTGGCATTGTGGAAACTTTACATAAGAGGAGGGCTGCGGTGATGTGTTGATTAGTCAATCAGCAGAACATTAATCAGCATTTAGATATTTAGAGAATTGATTAGATGTTAGAAATGATAGTTTTCAAGCACATGTCAGTCATTTATTGATTAGCGAGTGTTTGACTATCTTTGTATTTTGTTACACAAAGCAAGATGACATCATGTTGAGTTTTAGGAAAAACTGCAGTGGGAGTTTTCCCTATTATTGGCATTTTGCAAACCAGTCACATAATTGAGAAAATTATTTGCAGATTAAGTGACAACAAAAGTAATCGCTGGTTACAGCCCTTGTTCGGACCTTCTGTCACAAAAAATACCCAACGTCAGTCTCAGATTCAACCAAACTCAACATAACAGCAACACAGACAACAGAATCACAAATCATCTAGAATGTGATTATTTTGGGTGAAGAGACTGGTAGAGTAGGGAGACTACATATAGTATGTCTCCTTATTGTTAAACTATGTGTTTACTGTTGCTACAAATCACTGCAAGGGGAGGATGACGTGGATAAAATCTTCTTATAAATTGGAAACAATGATTAATAAAGTAATAAACAATGAGAGGTTTACTGAGCTAACATTTAGCAGTAAATACAAAGACCAGCAGAGGCGGATGGAGTGTCTTTAGTTTTGCAGGTATGTGGTTATTAACGATAGTATTAGACACATTAATTAACCTGTGCATGGCACCAAATGAAAGGTCAGAGGATCAGTGAAGTTATTACAGTTCATCCTGAGGGAAGCATGAATGTCTGAACAATATTTTATTGGAACCTGTTCAGTAGCTTTGAAATATTTCACTAAATCCCAATGGATGACATTGTGGCATCATGTCTCTGTAATATATGTCTATGTGTGATTTGTTTTCAGGGCAGCACAGCTTCAACGGGAACATCTACAACCTCCGGCTGTGGGATTATGCCATGACGGTGGATGATCTTAGGAAACTGACCTGTGACAGGGTGGGAAACATCATCGACTGGGACAACAGCCACTGGACCATCCCGTCCACCGCGGCCCAGACCGACGCCACGCTCAGCTGCAGTGAGTACAAAACATAACCCTAATCTGACCTCGGAAGGTTGAATTTGTGTCGCGTCATGCTGGCACATGATGGCACTCAGGATTGACGTGAACATACTGTAGCATGGATTGCAGTAGAGGCACACATGGGGTACAGTTAATGCACTAACACAAACATAAAACCATCTTGTAGAGGTGGAAACCTCACGCTGGACCCACCCGAAGATGTTTTTCTTTATAGTGTTTTCGCATGAATGCATGTTGAAACTAACTGGTTCTTCATTGTAGCTCACTACAACATTACTTTGTGACAATAAACATACAAAATGTGTGCAACCAAAGCTGTGTGCAAAACATGTGAAATCATAACAGCTCATTTATTTCATTTTCAAACTTTGTTGTAATTTACAATTGTGACTTTAAAACCAGTCCAAACAAAGAAAGATAAAAGAGCTACTTATTCTCTACACTTGGATTAAATACTGATAAAGTGCTGATCTACACTAGAATGACATAATTTAACTAATTATGTCATTCCGAAGTTTAAAGGCTAAGTTTGACTTAAAGGCTCAACATAGTGATGGAAAATTTGAATTATGACAGTCACACCAGTGAGCCAAAGCATTGTCACCACTCTTGTCAGATGAGACCTGGACTCCACAGACTTCTAAAGGTGTCCTGTGATATCAGATACCCAGATGTTAGCAGCAGAACCTTCAAGTCGTGAGGTGGTGCTGCATGGGTCAGACTTGTTTTTCCAACACATCCCACCAAAGCTGAATGGGATTGAGATCTTTGAAATTTGGAGGCCAAGTCAACACCTTGAACTTTTGGTCATGTTCCTAAAAGCGTTCCTGAACAATGTTTGCAGCGTTGCAGAAGGCATTATACTGCTCATAGAGGCCACTGCCAATAGGGATTACCACTGCTATGAAGGAGTGTGTGTGGTCTGCAATGATGTTTAACATCCACATGCATACAGGACTCGAGATGTCCCAGCGAGAGAATACCCAGAACATCACATGCACTTTGCCATCCTCATGATGTCAAAGAAAACACAATGCATCAGACCAGGACGCCTTCTTCTGTTGCTTCAGTCCATTATAGGTGCTTTTGATGGTGAACAGGAGTTAGCATGAGCACCCAGTGTGCCACTTACACAGGAAGGTGCATTGGTGTGGTCATCAATAGAATGCTGTTGTACCGCATTAAACCCTTCTGTTGGTTCAGACCAGACACGATAGCCTTTGCACCCCAGAAGGCTTTCTGTTTTAGACATGCTCGAACTCAGGCGTCTGCCCCGAAGAGGCTCAGTCTTCTCCCACATGGAACATAATGACGACTAGAACCAACTGTTCACTCACTGTCTGTCCCAGGCGGTGACATGTTCCATTATTACAAGATAATCAATGTTTTTTTTTGCTTCATCTGTGAGTGCTCATAACGCTGTGGCTCATCGGTTCCTGTGTTCCAGTGTCATTTGAAATGTGAGACTCTTTACATCATCCCTCCAGTGCTTTCAGCTTCAAAGCAGGCTGTTTACAGCACTTTTGTCTGTGCTGGTAAATCTTTGATATGCAGTTTTTTGTAAAGGAAGCAGGATGGATATGTTACCAGTGCATATCAAAATCCAATAGTTTCAAACTAATTTGACATCCAGTTTGTATGTTACTTCCAATAAAAGTGTATTTGAAGAGACTTAAATGGTCATTAACAATAGCACCATAGTTTTTTTTGTAAACTCCCGTAGCTTGTAGTTTATTCAGTGTCACTACTACACACACTGAAATTTTAGGAAATTACTTCTTGCAAACTGTTTTTAAGAGTGATGTCTTCAGTAGGAACCGATGGGCTCAGAGCTGAGAGCCTCAGTCAGAGGAGGGAGGTCAGAAAGTACTGAGAGTCCCGATGACACAGTGTTGGTTTTGGCCTTTTTGTTTTAAATTACTTATTCAGAAACAAAAAAATCACAAAAATAAAAGCACATTTTCTGAAAAATTGCTGTGGTCCTCAGATACTGCCAGTCAAATATCACACACACATACACACACACATACAATGCACACACTGTACTGTATCACGCAGGAACTCCAAGTACTAAGCTTTACAGTCTGTTTGCTATCAGGGTGGAAAATTACAACCAGACTTCAGCCAAATTCTGGTACATTTGGACTGCGGCTGGTAACTTAATCAACTCCAGCAACCAGTTTGGCTGTTGACCAGACATCACTCTGATTCCTGCTCTGTTCTAAAAACCCAGTTGGCTGGTGAAACACACTGTACACAGACACGCAACCGTGAGCTACTGTACAAAAAGGGAAATGACGCATGTTTAAATTGCTTAATTATTAAAGATTTTGCGCGGTATTTTGCAGTACATTAGCTTCGGAAATGCATGACGTACGCAAGCGCACACAGACACTCACACACACACACACACGTGCACACTCTGGGGTAGACTGGTGTGTGTCCACAGAGTAGTGCCTCTTAGTTAAAACGCTGTAAATGAGTGTGTAGCCGCAGGAGGTTAGCCACAGTGGTTTGAGTGAAATCCCTGCCAACGCTGTACCCACTGGAGAACGGGCCTGTGTGTGTGTGTGTGTGTGTGTGTGTGTGTGTGTGTGTGTGTGTGTGTGCATACATGCCTTTATACCTCGGAGACTTGCGGCGGTTTTCAAGAAATGCATGATTCTGCACTAAGCTTCCTGATTCTCCTGCACACACAGTAAAAGGCCCACAGTCAGAGGGGGGGCTTCACTTGAGCTTTTCTTACTCGACATGAAACTGTATCTGCTGAGATCCACACTGACAGAGAGAGACATTATAAACCAGCGTGTGAATGAATTCTTTGATGCCAGGCTTGTTTTTGCAGCACTGAAACGGAGTAAGTTTGATTGTGTGTCATAGCGCAAAGCGAGATGACGCTGTCACGGAGACGTCAGTAAAGAAACACAAGAAAGAAAACTAAATAAGAAATTACAGATGGTACAATTAAAACCTGGTGACGTTAATTAAACTGAAATGATTGATGGAACACGTTCACACACAAACAGGAAATGTGGGCTCAAGGCTGCTGTAAATGACATGTTTTTAACCACTTTTAATTCATGTCCACATACACATGTGATAAATCCTTGTGTTTCTGAAGGAGCCGTCTAATTAGTGGACATTCAAACAACCTTCATGTTGTGCTCGTCTGACTGACACCGCCTCAGTGATTGACTCTCCATCTTCAGCCCGTTCTTACTCCATCGCTTGAATGACTGATTGCTTACGTTCTGCTCGTTATTAATCAACTGTAATTTGCTGCAATTTGTTGCCCTCTCATTTTGTGTGATTAATAACTGATTAATTCATTGGCTAATTGACTTCTTGTCGATGTGATGTCTCTAAAATGTGAAATGTGTTTTCCTTACATGACCAACAAGTTTATCAGCTGATGCTTTTTTTTTTTTTTTGACTGATGTCCACTAATCTGTCCTTCTCTTCACAGTCTGCTACCCTCATTGCATTCACTTAACTACTGCTGCGCCAGCTAGTGGTGAGTGCTGCTAACACGCTGCTAATTTACACTGTGTGTGCGTATGTCTGCTGCATCTGTGTGTGTGTCCTGAAGTTGTGTTTCAGTTTGCTTCTGCTAACTGAGCTTTAATGCATGGACGAGAATGTACAATAATCTCTTCTTTTGTTTTACGTAAGGCAACACACGGATTTGTGTTTCTCTAACATGGAACGTACAGAGCGTAGTGTTTTATTTTTTAACCCTATGTCTGTCCTCATGGCTTTGAATTGTGCCAGAATGACACCTTTTATCAGAAGGAGAAGACTGAAAAAATACCAAGGTTTTCAACTTGTTTTGAACTACTCTTCTGTGGTATTCTTAAAATTCTTAAAATCGGGATATTTAATCAAAATTTCTTTATTCTAAATGTGCAGGTTGTGTTTAACCAGAGCACATAAGGAGTGTGGAAAAACAGTAAAGATATAGGAGGTTAAATACTTATTATATGTAGAGTAGTCAAGCATTAGGTCAAGCATGTGGACCCTTGGAAAATGTTTTACATGTTGATTTCGT